TAAGTTCTTCCTATATAGAATAGTAGATAGTAGAATAGTAGAATCGTCTTAGCGGATTCTACCGATCTACTTACTACCCTTCTACTACCTATATAATCACGTGATACTAAGTAGCGGTTGTCTAGTACGTAGAGTAACCTATATACCGGAAATCTTCTACGGGGTAGATCCGCTTAGGGCGGATCATGCTCTTGCTTAGTGAGTTTATACGTGACCTACTGATAGGTATCCTGGTTGGCTCTCGATGGCCCATTGGTGCGCCTGGTTGGCTCTCGATGGCCCATTGGTGCGCCTAGTGGGTCACTACTGATTAGTAACGGATAGGTCCGTAATATTAGAGCTCTTTATATAGCTTATACGTTCTTACTATAACGCCTTAGTAGATCTAATAATTCCTTATATATTCGGTAACGTCTAGATAGAGGTTCGGCTAGTAGTATTTCCTTTTTATTAGCTTAAGTATTCTTATATATCTAAAATAGCCGGCTAGGGGGTTATTATAGTAAATACTTAATAGTTTAGTTCTTAAATTACTCTCTATAGGGATATAAATATATTTCTTAAATCGTAAAAAGCCCTTAGGCCCGATACTCTAGCCCTTTAACCCTAGAGTCGACGACTTTATAGCGGTCTTTCGGTACTAAGTCTCTAGGTCTTCGCCCTAAAGTTACCTAATAAGCTCTTTAAGATCTATACCTACCTTAGTAAGATATACTTACTTAAAGGCGTAAGCTAGCCCGACCTATACGTTAAGGAGATAGCGCGTACGTCTAAGCTCCCCCTAATCGATTATACTAATCGATTTATCCCTATTTTTATTCTCTTCGAAGTATAGGATATTTAAGATAAGTATATTTATAGTTAGCGACTAGATTATAATAGAACGGTAATTAGTTATCTATAATTCGCTAGCTATTCGGCGGCTTAATAATAAAATTAGATTAATCTTATAGTTACTTAGTAGCTAGCGCCGAGAGGGTCTATCTATAGGATTACTCTTCCTAACGCAATATCTTATTATAAAATTAAATAGAGTAAAGGCTAAGTACTATTATACTTACCTACTATTAAGCTTTAGCTATTTTATAAAAGCCTAAAGGTTCGAATAATCCGAAAATACTTTAATTAGGTAAGTACTCCTCTTAAGGTAGTATCGCTAGTATTTAAATAAGTATACGATAGTAAATAGCTCTTAATCCGGTATTCTATAAAGGGTCTCTATCTTACTAAACTTCTATAACTAGAAAGCTATTAGGTACTATATCTTATTCTCGTTCGGTTAAGAGAGAATCCTAGCTATAGCGCTATCCGATATATCTATTTCTAGCTAAATCGGCCCTAATAAGTCGAAGTATCGGAGGAGAGGCGCTAACTAAAAGGTAGCGATTAGATAGCGAAAGGCTACCTTCTTACTAAGTATTAGGTTAACCTAGCCTAGCTTTCGCCTATTTTTACTACTTTTTAATAAGGCTATAAGTAGTAATATAATTTAGGAATAATCCCTAATAAACCTACGATAAAAATTATAAAATCCTAGGAATACCTAGATATCCTAATAAGACTTAGGAATCTCTTATAAAGCGATATTAGTAACCTAGCGAGGGTCTATCGAAACGCCCCTTAGGGATATAATAAACCCTAAAAAGTCGACTTAGTCTTAGTAGAAGGCGTATTTACTAGGCTTAGTATAGAGGCCTACTTTCTATAGTCGTTTTATTACCTAGTAAAAGTAATTTATATATAATTCCTAGTCTAAGAAGAATATAAAGATATTATCGAGATACGCTACCGAAAAGGTATCGAGAACGTTATAAAGCGCTATATAAATATAGTTTTAAAAGATTACTAGAGTATTTATAAGACCGAAGGATATAACTATATATTTATAGTATCTATAGCGGGTTTAGAATATAGTTTTCTATTTATCGCCCTCTTTAATATAGATTCGGTAGTAGGCGTCTTAAATATCGATTTTATTAAAGACCTTAAAGCCGGAAAGCCGGTCTAAAATCTCCGAAATAAGAGATAATAGGTACTAATTTTTTACCGAAACCTTATTAAGTCCCTAATAGTCGATATAAAACTATAAACTCCTATTAGACTTCGGTATAAATAAGATAGGGGCCCTAGTAGGGCTCTTAGATTCGCGGATTCGACTATTCTAGAGGTTTTCGTCGAGGTATTTTCGTAGCTCTATAAGCTCTTTTTATAATAGGGGGTATATAGGACTAAATAAGACCTTTACCCCTAGAGTTAGGTTAATAGTATAATCGTACTTATTCGAGGAAGGTAAGGTTTTCGAGTTTTAGGATAAGAAGAAGTCTTAAAACTATACTAGTTTAGTAGATAATTAGTAGTATTCCGGCGATACTTTAGCGGTATTATAGTTAATAAGTAACTATACTTCTTCGGGTAGTTTAATTATAATAAAGATATATATAAGATTATAGATTTCCTTAGTAAAGCGGGCTAGAGGTAGTATTTTAATAAAAGGTATCCCGAACTACTAGAGGCTACTTCGTTCTATAATATAGATATTAAAGTCGTAAATTATTATTATAAAGAGAAGGATAAGGCTTCCGGAGAGTTAGGGGTCTTAGTCGATTACTATATAGATATAGGTAAATCGACGGGTAGTACCCCTTAAATCGGTAGCTTTTAGTAAGATAGTCTATACCCTATAAGTCGGTATTATCCTTTAATTAATAGCGTAAAGAAGAGGCGCGGTAAGTTTTACTTAGTTAAGTTTATATCTTTTAATAAATTAGAAGCTTATAAAGTTAACTTTAGCTCTACTATTAAGATTTATATAGGTTTCGAGATCGTTCTAGGTAGTAATCGGAAGATAAAGCCGAGTTCTAGTTCCTACTATAGGAAAAGATAGAGGTATAGGAGTTACTCTATCTCGCTATTATTTCTTTATAGGGCTAACTATATTATTATAGTTATTTAGCCCTTAAAAGGATTTAGGTATTTATTAGAATAGTACTTTTCGCTCCTATAATTAAAGTATTAGTTACGTTTTCTATTATCCCTAATAAGATTTAGACGCCTATCCGATAATATATCCTTATCTTCTTTAGATTTTAATTTTCCTATAAATCGGGGCTTCTAGGAATTTCGATTAGAGTTTCTTTTCTATAATATATTCTTAATAGTATTAGTATATTTTCGTTTATAATTCGACTCCGATTTCTTAAGGTCCTAGAAGTAATACGCGATATTAATTATATCTTCTTAGATTTTAGGGAGTTTAATAATATAATAGCGGATTTCGTTTTAAAGGTTATATAAGAGTTTTATAAAGAAGGAAAGAGCCCTCTCTTTCTCTACTATCCTTAGGAAATAATATTTTAGGGTATCGAGATATATATAGAATTCTTAAGGGTCCTCGTCTCTTTATTAGTAGGCCTTCTCGAGTTAGCCTATTACCTCGGATTCTAAGATAGCCGCGTTTTTAATAAGGGTTAAGGTCTAGTCTTTAAAATAGGGTTAGTCTTCCTTAGGATTTTATAGTAGAACCGGTATCTTTTTATTAATATATCTATACTATCTCTATCTATAAGTTATATCTATATTACTAAGTACTCTAAGAATCTAGGTCCGATCGTTATAGTAGCGCCTTAGCGCTCCTTTAAATTATTATTATAGGTCTAAAAGCTATTTTTAGCGTTATTATAGGGTATAGTTAAAGGTAAATATAGATATACTCTTAAGTTTAATTTCTTAGTCTCTACTAGAGGTATTATAAATATCTTAGTAGGGGCTTATTAGGGGTTTATTTAGGGTTCGGCCTATAAGCTAAAATCTAAGAGTCTTAACCTAATCTTAGAGGTCCTTAAGTCTCTATAGCTTCTCTATAGTAACTTAAGTCGCTACGAGATTCGTATTAAGATCGATAATTAGTTCAACTAGGTTAGCCTAGGAAATAGCTTCGGTAGGGGGTATTTCCCTAGTAGTTCGGGGAGGGTTCGGTATCTTCTCTATAATAGGAGTAGAGCGAGTTCTTAGTACTATTCTTCTAGGTAATTAAAGAAGAAGAAATAGAATTATTAAAAGATACTCTATAAGTTAGGGTAGGTACCTATTAATTAGGTAGAAGAAGGTAATAAGATAGGTAGTTCCTAGAAGTCAAAGACTATTTCTTAGAGAGCCGTTAGGCTTCCTCTATATAGTCTAATTTATATATAGTCTCTCTATATTAATAGCGGGAGGAAATATAATACGTAGAGCGGGGTCTCGTTCCCGCGGGAACCCTTCTCGGAAGGGTAGGGAAACATAGGCGATCCCCCTCCGGAGAGGTCAAACCTCCTATAGGCCTAAGGCACCAATCTAGGAATGGCCTCACGTCTGATTATATCATAACAAAGAGAATAGGAGGTATAATAATACCGGAAGGGAGGGAAGGCGATATATCTTATAGGCGCTTAAATAGACTAGGCGAAAAGGGAGGGGACTTTGATTTAGCTAGAGGGGAGCTATTTTCGGCGTCGTTTCGGTCGCTAGTAGAAATAAGGGGAACAACTATATAAGTCGAGCGTTAATATTAGGACTAGAGGATGACTAAAAGTGCTAGGTAGGTGTAGAATAGTGGTGTTATAGGGCAGTGGGCGGTCAAGGGGCGGCTAGACGTCCAAAATTACGGGTAGAAAGGCAGCCGTTTCTGGCCTCAAAAGCGGTCATTTTCGGCGTCAATCCCACAGGTCCTCATATTCTAGTTGTAAGCTTAGCTTTGATGTTACACCGAATATAACGAACAATTTGTAGATTTGCTTTCCTCTATTTCTACTTCTGCCCCATGTAACGCAGTCTTTGCCATTCCATGAGAATGGAGAATATGAAACTATGTGGGCAATATTTACATCAATTGTAGAATTCTAAATTATTACCACACTCGTCCAATTCATAAAAATGTTATCTGCAAATTAAGCTCAGGCGAATCAAGTTGTCCATCTCGTTAACTCGTTTTGTGACGAGAAGAGCAGAGCAAAAAAAGTAATCTATAGCTGTCCACTATTTCTTTTCTTCAGGTACTCAACAAATTTGCTCAGGGATTCTGGTGCATCATCCATGCTCAACGATATCTCCACAATGTTTAGCCCCTTACCCTCCTTGATATCAGGTCGCTGGAGGATAGTTTGCAGTTCGCCCCAGTTCTGAGCAGATTCGGTTTGCACGGGGTATGAGGCATCACAGTTGAGAGCCCCAAAATAGCTTGGTGCTTGGAGATTCCTCCACGGTTGAATATCGTTGTAGCTTTCTGAGAAGCCGTGGATAATTCTTTCGACTGTATACCCGTTGTTGTTTAACACAAAGATTATCACATCAAGCTTGTTCCTGATAATGTCGCTGATTGCCTGGGCGGTCATCTGAAGGCTCCCATCGCCTTCAAATAGGATGGTTCGGCCTGGGGGCCGTGTGCCATCCTTAATCATTTCTCTCTGTGCGAGAGAAGCTCCTTGGCAAGCACCAAGCATGTATCCGATAGATAACCAAATTGAAGAATTGATCAATGTCGTTCCCTCCGGAAGATCGAAGCTCTGACCGCCATAGGATGCAGTACCAGTCTCTGTCATGACAATGTCTCCTGGTTGGAGGAACCGAGACATACGAAGCCAAAGGGAATACTGGTCTATCGATGCAGTATCAAGAGCCTTGGGAAAGCTCTTCAGAATCTCACGCGGGAGAAAGGGGTCTTCTGGATACGGCTCTGGGGTAGGGATGTCCAAGCCATTCAGGCGACGTAATAATTTCGAGAGTACAGTATTGATGGAGACAAGGCGGGCCTTGACAGGTATCGAGCCTGTGGTGTCTAAGGACACTGAGTATTTGTCGAATGCCACTGTCGCTCCAGGTTGTGGCTGAGCAGTGAAGCCGAATGTGTTGATTTCAGATCCAAGTACCCCGAAGCGGAGAACCAGATCGCACCCTTGAACCCATGACTGATAGACCGCCCCGCCCGCCGACCCAAGATAGACTCCGTGGAAGTTGGGTATGTTTTCGTCAATGATGCTCTTGCCAAACGGCGTCGTGAGAGTTGGGAAGCCCGTAAGCTTGACCAATGCGTTGATATCATCTCCGACACCAAATCTAGCGGTAAATCCGTCGACCAGGATTAAAGGCCGCTTGCAGCTTTGGATGCGAGCAACAAGAGAGTCGACAATTTTGTCTTCGAAAGCTTCGTCATAAGCAGGTATCGAAAGATCAATTGGAAACTGTGGCACTGGCACCTTAGCCCGGACCATGTCGGTAGGTATTTCGATGTATACCGGGCGACTTTGTCGGAGACATTCTTTCAGCGTGGTATCGATCAAGTGAGGAGCGGTCACGGCATCCACAAGATTGGCTTGCGCACATGTGACACTTTTATATATATCCGCAAAGACTCTGAAGTTGCCATCACCCAGGCTATGGTGCAAACAGGCACCTGATTCTTGGGCAGCTCGCGGCGGCGTACCAACGATATGCACCACGGGGGCCTTTTCGGAATAGGCTGCGCCAATAGCGTTGATGGCCGACAGCTCTCCAACCCCAAAGGAGGTGATCAGGGCGCCAATGCCTTTGATTCGGGCGTACCCATCCGCAGCGTATCCAGCGCACAACTCATTGGCATTACCAACCCAATGAAGACCTGCCGGCTCAAGGTAATCCAAGACAGTAAGGTTGTAATCGCCAGGAACACCATGAATAGAGCCAACGCCCAGTTGGGCAAGCCTTCGAAGCAAATACTCTCCTAGATCCATTGGGGTGCTGCGAAAGTGTATTGTGTTAGGCTAAATCGCGATGCCTAAAATATTTTGTTACACTTATTGTAATGTATAGCAAAATGAATTTTGATGACATTATCGAAAAGGGCGCTGATTATTGTATTATAAGGGAGCAGATGAGTAACAGGCTAAACACAATAAACATTCTAGACGGAGGATTATTTGAAGCGTATCCACATCACTCCGATCAACGACAATCGGTCCGGTGTGGGGGCACTTGGTATGCCGAGCGCAGCCCCCGACTTTCTTCGACCTTCAACTCATTTTGATTCGATGCGAAAGAGATAGCACATTCTTTGGTGACTGGTAGCTCGGTGTCGATGGTTATTTCTCAACGGCGAGGACTTTTCACAAGGTTTCTGGTGCTCTAAGCATAAGTTCCGCGAGGAAAACCTCAAGTGAGTTCCAAGTGGCCGACGACTGCACAGACATACCCGTTTGCCAGTCTCCAGATAAATGTATAGAAGTATTATAGTCTATTTTTGGCTCTAGAGAAAACATGTGACAGAATCTCCGTATGAACTCCTTTCGGGGAGAGGTAATACACAGGAAAGGTTTCCTCACAAACATGTTGAATGTTCTGAACTGTTGTATTGTAAAGGAGACAAACTCCCAGAAACATCTGTTTCCTAGCTATCCCGATTTTGGCCTGATCTGCTAGGCAGTACCAAACACCCATCTCAATAGTCAAAGACTTGATCGGGGTCCTTCCATATGTGTCTCCGGCAGTTTTAAAACTCGAAGAGCACTCCCACCCATAAAGCCCCTCACCACACTTTCTCTGAAGCCACCCTTGGTCCCCACCAGATGGCTATTGACTTTATCAACGCAGTCCTTCCATCCCAACTGCGGAAAGTTTGTTCCTAACACCACTTTGTCCTTGCCCGTAGTGCTGGCGAACGTGATAAACTCCGGAGCGTAATATTTCGGAGACAATGCGCTGGTGTCTATATAGACATTTTTGTGCTTCCAAGCAACTACCGTGGTCTCCGCAGCCCAAGGATATCCAATATGACCCATGATGATTTTCAAGTCCGGGAATTTCAGCGCGATAGTATCGATGTACGGGATCGGACGCCCGACCTCACTTCGACAGGCAGGTGCGGTGTGACCGACTTGGGTCAGAAACGGAACGTCAAGCTCGATGCACTTGACAAAAAGAGGCCAATAGTGCGGGTCAGTTGGGGGTAGGTTCCATAGCCAAGGCACCACCCTCAACCCCACAACCCCTTCGACTCGAACGTAATATTCCGGATCTTTGACAGCTTCCACGGGATTGTGGAGATCAACAGCAGCTAAACCAAAGATTCGCTTCGGGTAGGCGCGAGTGTACTGGGCGACCTCTTCAAAAATACCATCTTCCCTGGGCGACTCCATGCGGATAAACAAATATGGGAAACTCCAGCTTCGTCCATCAACGCAATGGCCTCTTCGGACGATCGCTTCTTGTCAGCAACCTCCGAGTCGGAGTGACTGTAGGCAAAGAGACGAGCAACTTCAGGGATGGCAGCCCCAAGCTAAATGATATGTCAGTGATGCAACTATACAATGCTGAGGCATGATATATCTACTCCAGGAAGATTCTCCCACACGTCAACAATGGGATATTGGATAGATTTCGGTGCCATAGTGTCGCGCGTGTGCGTTGTGAGCGTGTTGAATCTGAACAAAAATGGAATTTGTATGGTCACTTGTCGAATGACAACTTGACTAGCCTTACACTTGGTAAAAGGTTCACTTCATACATTAAATAGCTAATACCAAGTCCCTAAATGAGCCGAGGGGACACAGTACGCAGTACTAGCTCCGGTTATTTCGGTTATTTCGGCTGGCTGGCTTGGCTCTCGATTCTAGCGAATTGTCCAACGCTTGTGGAACTTCACCCCGAGGTTAATTTGATTTCTCCAACTTCGCCCAAGGCCAAGTTGATTCTAAACAACAGACGAAAATGGAGAGATACCCAAGGACATGAAAATACTTATTAGTTGAAGACAATATGTGCCAAGCGTGTACTTTCTTTCCTTATCACTTCGAATATGCCATCGTCAGATACGATTTGAGTGAATTGGCCAGACACCTGCCTGATACTCGGCCCATGGACTGGCAGCGATTTCTAAGGACAAATATACACTCTGTGAGAAACCGCCTAGCATAGACATTGCGGAGGTAATTTTTTCTTCCTTGGTCAGTTGAATCATTGATATAGCCCTTATAGTTCCTCCTAGGCGCAATCCGTCGTTGACACCGCAAAGCAAAACCCATCGGTCAAAGTAATGGCAGGATTTTCTCGCGGGTTTGATGCCTCCTATCGCGATTCTAGAGACAAAATCTTCCGGCAACAATCCATTGGATCACCTTTTATGGTCCGGCTCAACACGTGTGATCTTCGTGATGAGACCAGATTTTTTGTTCGATATACAACCCGAAACGGAGGTTCAACCGGAGTATTGGCAACGATTCGAAGATGCGTTTGCGTTGGAGGCCAATGATTTTGTCGAAGCCATTGTCAAAAGTAAGGAGCTCCCTCTTAACCTTGAAACTGGAATTACTGTTATGAAGATTGGACATGCCCTGCAGAAAGCCCTATTGACTGGGGAAGTTACAAGGTTCAATGAGAGCGGGGAAATATTGGACTAGGATATTCTGCTATATAAAGACGTGGATAACCTTTTGTCTGATAAAATAAAGTACTTGAAAATAAACCCTTGCTGTCACACTGTAGTTTTTTTCGAGCAATTTATCAAGGTGAATTGGAAATGGAAACGGAGTCGACGGGATGAGAGATTTGCCACTGCGAACTTTCATTTTTAAATTGCACATGAATAATCGGCCGATTATGCGGCCTTATGATGCTTTTTCGAGTGTGCTTTTTAGATGCTCTTTTAGATGCCTTTTTAGGTGTATATGAAGGCGGTAGAAAAAGCATACTTTGCGCAAGAGACCTTTCTATCCATATATAACCTTTGATGTGAGCTCAACAAGGTGAGTTAATATTCAAGTCGGTTATCGATATATTGTAAGATTGCTTGTTTGATTGAACATTGCATGTCTCATTATTTTTGATTAGGTGTCAACAAATTAATGTTCCAACTAACAAGAGCATTCGGAGATTATATATCTCTTTCATACGGAGATACATATCATGAGTACCCACCTCAATCTTGGGCGTTTCTTGATAATTATAACGAATAGATATAATAACCAAGCTTAATATACTATGTATACCATAAGATATAGCAATATGGCGTATGAAGATGATTCGAATTGGAATGTGATATTCTACAAAACTGGTCTTGGTAACCACGTGACCATCCCATCTATCTTCGGGGGTTCAACTCTAGGGATTGGTATGCCGCCTGAGAGCCTGGGCATTCAATTTCCAACCGCGGGGCCCAAAGTTGGAGGTCTGATACAGAATCAACAAATGCTTTCTTTTCAATTCCTTCTGTTGAAGATGACGCCAAGTACCGCATGTGCCAATGTGGACACAAACACTCAATCGGCGGGCGTGGCTACCCAACACGGCAATTTACATGTGGGGTAATCACGCCTAACTGCATAAGGAAAGTGGCGCCGCCATATCTTCTAGCGGTTTGAACGTCCCGTTTACTCGAATTTTCTCTGTGACCTTTTTCTGTGGCCTAAGGGATTTTGTGAGATATGTCAGCTCGCAGTTCATTGGCGAATACACCTTGCTCGAGCTGCCGCGGTAATAATGCCCCTGCTTATGGTCCTGATCTTCGCTAATATGTGTTATAGATAGGCATCAGAAATGTGCGATATCCAGATGCAAAAACACCGTAGTCTCCCTTATCTTCATGTGCGCTAATTCCCCTCTCTGCAGGCGATCGGAGGCAACCGATTTGCCTGAAATGTGAGATCAAAGGTCTCGATTGTAGGCCTGCGCAACGAAAGCCAGTCTTTCGACACGGCTCCACGGCCAATTTAGATGCAAACTTTACGGAAGACCAAACATGGGTGAATAGCAGGCCTAGAAACTGGAGACCCCTGACGCGTTCAGCTCGATTATCCCATCAGTCTAGCCTGTCCGTATCAAACGAAGATCATGACGAGAGCTCACTCACATTGGGCGGCCTGTCAAATGAGCATCAAAGGCAAGCCGGCAGTTACCCGAGTGGGATGAATTTTGGATCCGCCGAGCCAATTGAAAATCTTCAGAATGAGTCATCGCATGCGGGCTCGTTTAGTGTAGTCGGTGCAAGGCCGGCAGTTTGTTCTCCCGGCTCATTAAACAATGCCTCGCATTCTTCGATATCACGAGGCCTTCCCAGTGGATTACAAGGGAAACGATTGCATCTGGCAAAAAGTGGTGGCAATCCCCGAAATGCCGAACCGGATTGCCATACAGCCACGTTGAGATCTGTCAACACATCTTATTTTGTCAATCAAGATTCGGCAGAGGCCGATAGCAATATCCAAGAATCTTGCTTACTACGGTATTTTATCGAAGAGCTATCCCCATGGGTGCGTTAAATCACTTATTCTAGGTGCTGTTTGGAAATAACGCTTCATAGTTTGATCATTGCGATGAGCGACGTCACTTTCAACTAGTGGTTCCTCGTCGAGCTAAGCACTGCCTTGCTCTACGAAATGCGGTATTTGCGGTATCATCCCGGCATCTTTGTCGTTTGCCACAGTACACAACATCCCGAGGAACTGTTTACCACGGGCAGGTTTTACCTGGCTTAACAAAATCGACGTCGGTTGAGTACATGTTGAAATGTATTCCAGAATTGATCCAATTCCCCGAAATTCAGGATCCACTACACCAGGAAAATATTATGGCGGCCACCGTGATTTTACGACAATACGAGGAAATGGAAGAGGAGATGGAGGAAGGAGAGATTGGAAATCATGTCTATGAAGGAGTCAATTTCCTGGCCATCACCCAGACAATCATTGACACCATGATTTCCACCCCGCTTGATCACTCCCTCGCCACCGCGGCCTACTGGATTGCCATCCGACAGGAAGTATATTATGCTTTGACAAGGCAACGGGCTCCACAGGTTCGCTTTGACTTGGAGCGCTCTCGAAACACCTCTGTTGCCAATATAATGATTGTATTCGCTAGTGAAGTTGCCAAGTGGCGCTGGGGGTTGAAACAGCCCCAGGAATGGGGTAAGTTTGCTTTCAGCTTTGCCATAAATAATCGAAGGTGTTAGTATCAACTGACTAACATACCTCATCGCACTAGAAAAGCTTAAGGCAAAACAGCATCAGCTTCACCAGGATTATCTGCATGAATTGGAACCAATTTTGGAGCAAGATGCTGATAGAGCCAGAGGGAATATCTTTCCTACTATATGGTACTCCTTTGAGGCGCAGGTGACGGCGATCCAACATTTGAAATTGGCTGAAATGATTTTAATTGCCGAAAGCCCCTATCTTGAGTAAGTCAACCTATATCATTTAGCACAGTTGAAATTTTGTTATATCTAATACGCCATCAATTTTCAGGAACACAAGGGGTGCATTACATCGCAAAACGGAGGCACAAGTCCGGACTATTGTCCTATGTCTTTGTGGTATCGCGTCAAACCATCCCCGATGTCAGCCTGCACTAGTTAATGCTGTTATGGCAATTACACTGTACGGTGAATATTTCACCAATCAAGGGGAGAGAGACGCCCTCCTTGGTATCATGAATCAAACCATGGAAATACATGCCTGGCCGATGAGGAAGGCCTACCAGTCTCTACAACGGCAATGGGATATGTTAGATGATGTTGAACTTTAAGCTAAAGTACAGAGTTGACGAATATCAGTTAGAACTCTGCTTACACTCTAAGGCGTTCTTAATCTTAAGTACGTACATGAACAGTTCTTACGGAAGGTTGACCCTGAGAGTCGTGCAGTTGCGTGACCGAGAACCCACAATCGCCCGTTTCTTCATCACTACGCTGAAATAATTACTGAAGCTGGCATTTGACCTGTGCCTCAAGGAAGGCGTAGCGGACGGGACGTCCTATTTTGCATACCCTATAGTCGTACGTATTAGGCTAGGCGTGAGAGAAAATGATAAAATATAGGTGAGATGATTGGGTGAGAATCAAGTCGTATAACCACCGCATGGGACGATCATGTTCATATTTTGTATTAAATAATTAGCTATGCATCATTATTCTAAATTCTCTAAATCATAATTCGAACTCCAAGACCTGATTATCTGCGATAACCCCAGGCCTCACATTCCAGAATCCTATCGACTTGATGACTTCGCTTCCTCATCAGGAATATCAGGCTGCGGTTTTGGCTTGACACTTCTCCAACGGATTCCAAGTGAAAGGAGGAATGCAATGGCGGCAACACTGGTTGCGACGTAAAACGCTGTGGTGATCGCGTGGTTGTATGAATCTAACACGCCTGGAAGGTGTGTCGCAGAAACGACGCTTCTTGCTTCGGCAGAGCCTGCACTGATAATTTCATCGACCTCATCGCTGCCAAATCCCCAACTGGCCAATCGCGAGTTAAGTTTGTTATCAAAGATAGCCTCCGCGATGGCGAGGTTCACAGAAGCACCGAAGAATTGGAAGCATTGCAGTATTGAGGTACCGACAGGAATATCTTCGGGCTTAAGAACTGTTTGTGTCGCAACATAGGGCATTGAGAGGGTCATTCCCACTCCGAGACCCTGGAGGACTTGGAATGGGATCCAGTGTTGGTGGGAAGTGATTAGAGAGAAGGTAGAGAAGAGTCCCGTTGCTATGCTCATCAAGCCCGTGCCAAGGAGCATATAGGGATTAGGATATCCGAGGTACTTGAGTGAGGCACCTGTCAGGGTTGCAGAGAGAACATCGGAAAGCGCGAGAGGAAGGTACATGAGTCCAGACTTCGTTGGCGAGGCACCTTTGATGACCTGGAACCACTCGGGAAGATAGTAGATCGAAATGTAGACAGCGCCCATGGCGAAGAATTCGCTGAAACAGGAGAAGAACATCGTACGCTCACTAATCAGACGCGGCGGAATCATAGCACAGTCACCCTTTCGTATTTGCCAGAGAGCAAAGGCAACACCGAGACCGGCGCCTCCAATGAAGAGACCAATGATGGTAGCACTCTTCCAAGCGTATTCGGTGCCTCCCCATTGCAGAGCCAGGAATATCATGATGATGGCGGGAGCGAATAGAACAGCGCCTAGCAAGTCCAGATTTTGCAATCTGCGAAGAACGGTCGGACCCTTGATCGAGTCACGGGTAGGCGGCTTGAAGAAGAAGAGTAGTGAGAGTATGGTGACAGCACCGATAGGGAGATTGATCCAGAAACACCAGCGCCAAGTGGCATGCTCTGTGAATGCACCACCTAGTACAGGTCCGATGATTGTGGCAATGCCAAAGGTTGACTGAAGGATTCCGATATAAAAGGGTCGCTTGACGAGCGGACTAGAAACCGCAACAATACAGAAGGCTCCTGTAAAGCATCCTGCTGCTCCAATTCCGGCTATAGCACGGCTGACGATGAGCATGGGACTGTTGACAGCAAGGGCGCAAAGCAATGAGCCAAGCTCGAATATACCAAGACTTCCGAGGAACATGACCTGATATTGTTAGGGGGTTTTCTCGTTTCCAAATGAAAGTTTCGGATAAGCTCACCTTCATAGGGAAGCTTCCAAACAGTTTACCTGCGATAGGCTGCAAAGCGCACATCGCAAATGAGTATGCACTTCCATACCAGCCAATATCGCCGGTGCTGTTGAATTCTGACGTGATCCGAGGAATAGCCGTGGAAATGATGGAGGAGTCTAGTGACATGAGAAATATAGAAAGAGAAAGTCCAGTGATGACCAGGACTAGTGGAATTCCAGTCAGCTCGTAGTCGCTCGCAACGTCTGTTCGAGAAGAGTCGCTGTCGCCAGCCGACAGGCTGTTCGCCTTCGGGGGGCATAGGCCCTCGATGGGAGGTTTCTCAGCCATTTGTTATTGCAGTTGAAATGACAAGGTGGTTCGAATTGGAAGAGATGGACAAATGGAGACAACAAGCTTACATAGTAAGTGAATTCTAATTGATGTATCCACGGATGCGACGCTCCACCGGCGGCGCCAACCTGCCTTCGGATTAGCGTGCGTGAATCAACATGACTCATGGTGGCTCAAGAAGCATCATTGGTCCGTAGCAGGACCCGCCGGAATTATGGTTCCCACAAGCCTCCTTTATTGGCTACTTGTACATCCTACACCAAGTTCACTCGAGATTTTTGAATCTATTAAGTATCCCCCACTACAGTAAAATCCCTTTATAGCGATATAATTGAGATATAGCCAAATATCGTTGAAACCAGGTAACCGTGCCAAGCGCCCAACCAAACGCAATCTTTTCACCGAATGCAAAATTTCCAATTTATTATCACTTTTCTGTGTATTTTACACCACAACACGATATCAGATCATATCAAAAAAGATGGAAAATCAAATCCGGCTTGCAGTCAAAGTGTTCTCTAAGGCTAAGAAGCCTAATATTGCCCAATTGGCCGGGAATTCGACGTACCATACCATCGGCTTAGGGCTAGGATTCATGGCCGCTAGTCCTATGCTAACTGTGCGAAAACAACCAGAACCTTGAATTTAATTCAAGAAAAGGCACTCACTAGCTAAGCTCAAACTGTAGATATCGCGTATACATCATCTACCTTAGATATAGTTAAAGATATTGCAAATTCCATCTTACAAAAGGCTGGTGAAGATCGGGTTGTTGGCTATAACTAGGCGTACCGCTTCCTTGTAAGACTACCCCCTAGGGTCAATTATATCAACTAAAAGCCAAAGGAAAAATCGAAGGTAGAGAGCGCAGATTATCGTTCCGCATTGACTACCGTTCACCAATTCTTAATTAAAGCCTTGGGTACAACAGATTGTATGCCTCATCTTTTGACATGCCAATTTCAACGCTCTAGCAGTAATTTGTCAGGCGATGTGGCGGTGCTATTAATGTTTGCATTGTTTGCTTATGTCAAACAAATACAAAAAGCCCGTGGGATCCTTTTCTGCGCTGGGGTTACTAGCATCCTTTTCTGATTCCTTAAGTCGATCGGCTACGTCAATCTTCATGACGAACGAGATGCATTCGACCATTGACCCCCGGCCGTTGACGAGATTGAAGCGTCGACCAATATCCTTAGTATACGAACAAATGCCATTAAAGTGGTTCGAGTGAAGGAACGCTTCGCAGTCAAGATTGGATATCCGATTCCACCTTTAGAAGCAGAGAACATGAAATTCGTTGCAGCCAACAGCAATGTTTCTGTGCCAAAAGTTCACGCCAACTTTGTCGATCCAGAGACCCAGAAAAGATACATCGTTATGGATTTCGTCCCTGGAACCGACTTGCAAAAATTACTACCATTGCTCACATCAGCCGAGAAGACGACGGTCAGCGAGCGGATCAAAGAGACAATCAACGAACTACGAACAATACCACCCACCGGACTACTTTGGAAACTTGAATGGCACGCCTTACATTGACAATGTTCTTTCAACGCCAGATAACAACCCAGTTATTTCTGGCCCATTCAAGGACCAGGATCAGATGAATGATGGAATACTAGTGAGGCTGGGCCAGACGCAGTCACCGCACTACATTTGTTTATTGCGAGAAATGGTAACCGCACCCTCAATAACCATCGAAATGTTTTTACCCATGGAGATCTGCAGCCAAAGAACATAGTCGTGGAGCGAAGAGTGGGCTGCGATGGTAGAAGCGCAGACTTTAAAGTTACTCTCATTGACTGGAATTTGTCAGGCTGGTACCCCGTGTTTTGGGATTTTTGCAATTCAACATTGTATTGTCAAATAAAACCGGATTGGCTCGAGCTTATCCCAGACATATTTGATCAGTACCCGTTGGAATATCTCATGATGCAAGTTGTCTACTCGTCCGTCTTTTACTGATAGTACATTGAGAAAAAGTGAAATGTTCGATCTTACGTCTAAAAACAAAATCCATAAGCTCTGCATTTTAATTTTCTCTGTACTCAGAATCAGCTCATCAGCCCATCCCCTATTTTAATATAAACACCAGATGGGCTTCAAAACTCAAGCTGGCTGTGACCCAGATATACTGAAAAGAACGTTCAACTGTAGAATGAACCTATTTGTAAGGGCTCTTCTATTCCGAATAGCCAGTTTGCGAGCTTTCGTGTTCTAAATTCCGTTAGAGCTTCAGCCGCGTTCCAACTGGGTTTGACGGGGTTACCTCATTCTACCGCTCAAAGATGCCCTTTTCGAAAGCCAGTCTCCACAACGATAAAGTGGTGTACCGTTACAATTGTTTGCCGCCGAGTGTCAACTGGGCTCGCGGTGCATCGACTGCTCTGCAGCACTCAGTCTCGAATCTGGGCAAATCTGCCGGTGCAATGGTTCCAATCCTTCTCTTCGTGCCTGGATAAAAGACACCGAGAACTCAGGTTCAAAGGAACCTCTTGGGTCGTATTTCATACTTCATACCCTGAAGTAGGCTGCATTAGTTTACACAGTAAGACGCGTAACATAAAACCTCTGGTGACTACCCCTCTTTTACCGCAGTGTACATAATGAATGCGCGCAGTAGGTTGGCAGATACTAAACCCTCCCCTGTTTTATCCCTCTTTATGCAGACATACCACATCACAAGTCAGCCACCAGCAAAGTAAACGCCGGGGAGGCCAACCAACAACGTATGGGTCTACGAGGTCGACAAATTGGACTCATTAATTGTTTCAATTTCCTTCCATGAATATGTGACACAACTGTAAACGCCCGAGGTCTCCATAATTAGATTGTCTGCGCTGGATAAAAAAACGTGGTAATTGACTAATCACACTTACATTGCCCTTTGATGCGGCGGCTACAACGAATGTTTTATCAACATGAATGTCAGCTTGCTTCCCTCGACATTTTTCCTACTATGCGGATAGGTCCTAGAGGCGTCATTGAACTTGGTTTGATAGATGAATGCAACTTCCGGCTTCATCTCAGTTATAGAATTTGTGGAATCCGGTCATAGTAAAGAACCACGCAGACATAGCATAAGCCTGGGATGTTAGCGTATTTCTTTCTCTCGCTGAGAGTGCCACTAGGCCAAATAGTCTCATATTACCAAAATCATACCTACACCTCGACCGCACTCTCACCATCCACCAAGTAAGAAATTACTGCGATGGTACCACACTCTACAAACTGAACCTTAGCTCTGAACATGAAACTCAAGACTTCTAAGCTGGACAACCCACGAATTCAAGTATAAGTTTATTGCCTTAGAAAAGAACAAGAGAGATCGTCTACTAGTCTCAAGATCGCACCGTCGATTTGCTTATTGATCGCAAACACAATGGCTAAACCAGACTAAAACGTACGAATCATGATTTTGAATGCGTCGTTAAATGCGTCATGCGAAATATAAGAATTTTACCCCTTGTAACCCTGCAAGGCGCTCTCGGTACCCTTCACCAGACCGAATAAGACGGCCAAAGAGACGGCGATCCAAAGCGGATACTACGGGCTTACATCGCATCGCGCCTCTCATTCCATCATTGTGTGATATTCGACGGCCGAGTCTCGTCAAATTCATTATCTGTATCCTTCTCGGTTTCCTTGGAACTATCAGCTGCTCTTGGATACTTGAGTTAAAGTATAATATTAGTTCACCAATACTTATCCACGGGAGTCACATTCTCAACTATTTAGCTCTCCACATCCGAGTCGCTCCCAGGATATGAAATAGATTTGAAAACGGCAAAATCTTTACATTCTTATGAAAGGCTCTTCCTATACTTCGCCAGGATGGTGATAGATATCATGCTATGTACCTTTCTCCTAGCACTGAAAAGATCGCTCCATCCGAGGATTTGTTCCTCTACAAGTCTCGAATACTGCGTCCTTTCCGACCTCTACGAGATTGTCCCTTGTTACAATTTTTTGTCGCAGACCCCGTTATCAATGTCCTTTGCTTTTCAGTTCAAAAGAAAACAGCTCGTAGTTCATTTCTCGTTTGTATTTTTCAAGCCTGCATGGTTTTCAATGTCCACAGTTGCCCTGTCAAATTGTCAGAGTAAGATGACAAGAGTGTAGCAGAAGCTAGTTCTTACCTCGAAAGATTGTCACTTCTGACGATTCTTCCTCCTCGTAGGAGACGAAAGTGCCGAATTCTAACCTCTCGCATGTACTTTTGTTGCTCTAGGCTCGGCGTCCATAATATGTCTTGGGAAGGATTGACGACAGTGAATATGCCCGCTGCGAGTGAGACACATGTGAGAGCACAAGCGAGCACGATAACTATGATAGCAAAATTGCTGACCATTGTGCATATATTGAACGATTGATTTTTGAAACGTGGTTTTAGGCCTCATCTGAAGGTTTCAAAGCCTCTTAAGTAGTGGTGAAAAAATGAAAAAAAAAATTCAACAATCAAGAAATGTGCAGCGTATTGCTTTTCGTGGCTTTCGCTGAAACCATCGTGGTCCTCAAACATAATACGGATGCCTAAAATTTCCGAGGATATCCAGGTCTTTATGCGAGCCCGAACTTTCCTAGACCTTACAAAAGTGGATGCCAGGTATTATACCTATCCCCGTAAGGAAGCTTAACATATGCCTATCTTGGCTGGTGGTATCAGTATGCTCCCTTGTTTGCGATGCGGTTCAAGTTCTCTAGTTTGATTCAGCTAAACATAGAATCAACAAAACATCCCCACCTCTCCCAATTACAAGCGCCTACATAGTTGTGGGAAAGTAGACCGTCGGTTTCGTATTCGGCTTTTCCCGAGCCAATTCTGTCTGCCAAACTATGTACCAAATGCTTGTCAAAAAAAAAAGCTTTGTAACTCCATAATTAGCACTTTGTTCTGGCTGCCTGACGTGGCAATTATTTATCGCAAAAACGGATTATGCAGAGGTTTTTGATTCTGGGACATAAATAACTTTGTAATGTGCTTATGATCTGGCCATCTTCCTTCAGTGTAAAAGCTGGCCTTCGGTTCCTAGACCTGTCATTTCATCTATTTGACCTATTTCCTATCATCTCATTTCTTAAGTCGCTCGTTACCTTTCTTTATCCGAATCATCGCAGCTCGATCCTTGTCATTCGCTATGTCCGATTACATTTTTTACAACTACACACCCTCGCTGGCAGCCGCAATCATTTGCATGCTTCTTTTTATTGCCATCACGTTTGGTCACATATTTTTTGTTTGGAAGCACAAGACAATATTCTTCATCACCTTCATTATCGGTGGTGTATTTGAAGCCGTTGGATACGGGGCACGAGCAGTCAACGCCCACGAAGCCCCAGATTACTCGACAATGCCATACGCCTTACAAAGTGTCTTTGTTTTACTCGCTCCTTCCTTGTTTGCGGCATCGATCTATATGATCCTTGGTCGGATCATACGTCTGCTGGATGGTGATTCCAGATCTCTCATTCGAGCAACGAGGTTGACCAAGATATTTGTACTGGGGGATGTGCTGGCATTTTTCATCCAGAGTGGAGGTAAGAAGAAGTATTTCCTCCCCACACTATGGATTACCTATTAACTTTCATATGCAGGAGGCGGAATTATGTCTAGTGCCAAATCCGCTAGTAGCTTGAAACTCGGCGAAGATGTCATCATTGTCGGATTGATCGTCCAAATTATCTTCTTTGGCTTCTTCGTTGTCGTCTCGGTCATCTTTCACAAGCGGATGGCGAGCGATCCCACTTCCGCAGCAATGGCTACTTCGGTGGACTGGCATCGGTACATGCTTGTGCTTTATTTTGCAAGCGCTTTGATTATGACTCGTTGTCTCTACCGAGTCATCGAGTATATCCAAGGATCGACTGGCTTTCTGCAAAGCCACGAGTACTTCGCGTACATCTTTGATGCTGCGCTCATGCTTTTAGTCACAATTGTTTTCCTGATTTTTCACCCAAGTCAAATCATTTCTGGAGGACATCGCAAACTTGACGATATGGAGCTCATAGGTGGAGATATGGCATAGCTGGATATAGAATAGAAGCAGAACTAGAATAAGTCTAGAGTCCACGTTTCATTTCAAGTTTTAGCTTTGATTTCACTGAGTTTTCACATTTATCCAAGTACAGGATGGATCGAAATCAGTTTCATCACTTTATTCTCATAGAATCTTTCTAGAACCCTATTCCCAAACACCCTAATCAATTTCTGCATTGGCGCGATTTCAGGTATTAAATCGTATTGAAATAAATTATACCGTGATACATATTCTATAAATCCCTTGCCGGTCAAAAATACTCGCATCTCCACAGGCCCTTAGCTCGCGCGTTGACGACTTTCCTTCTGTTTGTCCTCAAACTCTTGGCAGCGACAGTCATTGAAGTAGTTGAGTAAACCCCTGATTCCTCTACGTAGATACTAGGTTGACTATACTCGTCAATGTAGAGGGATTATCATCGCCGAGGTTTGCTTTGTGAGTCTCCATCACCTGCACTTCTAGCTGTTCGGCCATCGTCCACTGGCCTTCAAGCCGGAACGATATTGCCAACATGCTTATGCTATCAAGGACCTCTTCGTGGTCTTCGCCTAACAAGGTCGTCCTTTCGTTTCTTGAGGATGATGCCATTTTCCTAGCATCTGCGATGTTACTGCTTTGTAACGTATACTATACACTTCTATAAAGTAACGTGGCCCATGCTCACAGACATTCGGGCGATTTTGGCCGTTGCGACAGTGCAGATTTGACATGGGGAAAGAGTGACCTACACTTCTCCCAATTTTCGTATTCACCTGTTGGAGTTTCCGTATATAGGGTGCTGGTAAATCCCTCCCTCGAATGGTCTAACAGTCCGTTGTGAGATTCCAATCACGCGCGTGTAGCTAGTTGCAGTAGCCGGTGCATTGTGAAAAGAGCGGTGTTCTCACTGGCAGATATCAATGAATAATCCCTCAGTGTTATAACATCGTCTTCAAAATCGAGACCTATATCAGATTCGGATGCCTCCCCGTTATTGTGATAACTTAGAGCTTCTGAACTTAATAGTTATGTAGTTGGCCCTAGGCTGCTGCCCGATAAGGTTCTTTGGTATCCCTTGCCGATCAAAAAAGCTCATGAGGGAAAGCAACTTCGTAGCAGATGGCTTTGCGATATCACCTGCCCTAAAATTATCAGCTATAGTGACACATTGGACAAGCGTTGATTTCTTACTATGGTAGATCTTAAAATTAGCAGACGGTGCCGATAAAAGACGGAAAACCACCCTCACCTCGGTTCCTGTTTAAAGCCTAGAGGGCCATATCCCAGTCTGACAGATCCGCTAATGATCGACGGCCCCGCCCGTGATTCTACGGTCTATATGAAAACTATCAGATAAAAGTGGATTCCTACTAACTGGCCACTGTGATTTTCTTTTTCAAAAAATACGCACCCTATAAATGCGATCATCATAGCACCACCTAAAAAAAAAAAAAAAAAAAAAAAAAAAAAAAAGAGACCGACTGCGAAAATGCACATCCACTGAGCAAAAGAATAAGTCGAAGATAACTCAGCAAGATGACCCGCCCTCGTGACCTAAGATGCAAGCCCCGACCCTTCTGTTTGTGTGCCAAGGTAGTCCTAACTCAACTTTAGCTCGCACCCCTCACCTCTATCTCAGATTCAGTCTCGCTGATGGTATCAAGTGAGATAACCTAGGTTAGCCCCTCTATACTCGTCACTCATCTCGGTCACCTGAAGACTCGCTTCCCAACTTCGCTCTTGTACCATCACAACCACCACTCCCACAAAACCATATCATGGACAATATCGAAATTTCATCGACTTTCTCGGACGAAACCGGGATGACGCCCACGCATACCAGCTTACCTAGGTTATACGCCGACCCTGAACTACCGCCGTATATGTGTCCTGCACCTGCCGCAGTCGCTCCTTATAAGGGAGCGACCTTCGTCATTCGCGATCCTCAGAGCGGCCTTGTTATCACACTCAAGGATGGCAAGTTAGGTTTGGCCCCTGGGGATAAGGCGGATTCTTTCATCAATTATGATGACGGCCGTGGCAGCCACTGGCGCTGCGTCGAAAACAAGGACCGCTGGCTGGGCTTCAAAAATGCAGTTTCCGGAGAATTTATTGGACACGATAACAACAAGAAGAACTGGCGCTTTATGGCAAAGGTCGAGGCCCACAATGAATGGGAGTTTTTCTGTGTCCGTCAGCATCCGGATGGCGGTCATGAGCTGCTTATGAAGCATTGGGGTGGCTTTCGTGCGATGCAAGTAGGCGGCAATGACAACAGGGAGCTGGTGGTTGCTGGTGAAGGACAAGGCGGAATGGCATGGGAGTTTCTCAAGGTTCACTCTTGAGATTTGACTTATGTCTGACGCATTGTGAGAAAATCAGGAATTGGGCATTGTTGCTACCAGATTGTGATTTCGTGGGATACCGGAGTCCACTTGGGACCTCAATTAGCCGCAAGGACAATTTGCTTTTGAGCACAAGAATGACTAGCTTATAAGCAGCTCTTATATGCTTGGCCAAACCTCTAACCTACGTACAGTATTTTGAGTAGAGCAAGCAACAAGTTTACGTTTGAATGGCCCCAATCACCGCCATAAAAAAAGGCCCTCTAATATGAGCACGTACAGATCGTAATACCAGTTAATTAAGGTATCTAAGTTTCTACAGCAGTCCAATCGATATCGAGATAATCAAATCTTTTCATCAGGTCACGTTGGGAGCGATCATTTACCGATACGACGATCGAGGTGTCATCCAACTTTACCCTTCCTTTATCGGGGGTCTTTCCTTCTAATAGACTTTCTAACTTACCCTTTGAGCTCATTAGCTAGTATACACTCGGAGTATCTCGTAAAAGGACTTTCTTGTTCAAAGTGACTTTGCACTCTATCGTATACTAGATATAGTTTGCCGGAAGTTCGTTACTTATTATTTCATTATGCCATTCGGATAGCTGAAGCAGCCTCGGAGTTTGCGGTTGCTACTATGATATGACTTCCAGATCGTTCTCGGAGTGATAGTCGGGAGAAGGGCTGAGCCCATAGCTTGACGTGGGCGTACGACCGTAGCATCCTAGAGTGGGGGCATATTGCGAATCTCGATCTCCGGGCTTGAGGTCAAAATGACGGTCATCAGGAAACAAAATGCAGTCATCGTCTTCACTCTAGCCGATCCTACTCCAACGTGGACATGATCACGACAGTCAGTCCAGCAGGTACTATCCTATTAGAATGCCAAGCATGGTACATGAAGCGAAGACACATTACCCACTGGTACTGTCTCTATACAACGCTCTCGGTCACAATGGTCACTCTATAGGGTGCGTGGTTGACGGAGTGGGGAATCAAATTCCTGTTATATCTCCAGACAACAAACAAGAGCGGACTCGTCTGTTCGACTTGTTTGCAGGATCAACGTTCTAGACGCTCTAGAGACCATACATGTCTAATACAGAAGCTATTTTGATGCTGTTATTCAGAGCTGTACTAGATTAGTGCTAAAATAGGGGTTCAGGGGAGGACTAACTGTAATAGGAATAGCATATCTTGAAAGAGGGTTCGAGAATAAATCTGTGTGCACATAGTGAAACTGATTTTGATCCTCGTTGTGTTCCCAACCCTCCTTTGAAAAAGAAAGAAGAAACACATGGTTAGAAACTCAGAAGTGAAGCAACGTCACAATCATGAAAGGCTAATATAAGCAGCATTTAGAAAGCAAGAAATAATATATATTATTCCAGCTTATTTTTTACCTAAAGCATTGTCTACTATCCACTCATCGATGGTATACCTTGAAGTAGGATGTAACTTGAACGGTATGATAAAAGTGCGAAAGGAATTGTCATCATGCGTGTATATACGCATCCGAAGCGAAACAAAAATGTGTCTAAAGAGGAAATTCTACATTAAAAAAAAGAGAATACATCAGGGAAACTATAACGAACTGGTCCTAACAATGGTACTCCCAAATATTTGTTGAATCATAAAACTTTTACATGCTAAGCCTGCTCCTTCGACCGATCAACAGAACCCTCGCTTGAACTAGACTGGGCAGGTCCGTCATTCTGCAAAACATCAGAGGGGTGAAACACGTTCATGATCACCATAACCAAGAACATTATGGCAGCATCAAAAATGTACAAGAAAACCTCGTGACTGATAACGTAGCCATTGTTTCCTTGCACAAATTCGATGAGGCGATAAGCGGATCGAACCACAATCAACAGACTAACAGCATAGCATGTAAAGAGAAGGTTGGGCCAGTTTCTGGGCAAGATAGATATTCGGAGGTGCATTGTTCGTTCCGACTGTTCTGTGGGTGACTGGAGAATTCTCAGATGGAAGAGACCGGAGGATATCATAAAGGTACCGAAGAAAAGAAGTTGGACACAAAGACCCGCGATGATGACCCATTGGCCAATAATTAAGGTCTTTTCAGATCCACTGCTCATAACACCGCCACCTAAGAGATGAGTGAATCAGTTTCAAAGCCTTAAATTGAACGTCCCTTTATCAATTGCTTACCTGCACCTTGGAGGATAAAGGAGAGAATATCTCCACCCACAAAGATCTTCGTCATAAGACGGACAGGCACATAGCTCAGATGTTCGCCGTGGAGGAAGCTGATGATTCTTCCGAGAACCATGTAAATTGACGCCGCGTAAAGGATCGGTGCCAGCAAAATCAAGAGTTGCTGAATTGCGTAAAGAACGGTTGATGTTTTGTTATAATGAGCGGCGGCACGAGCGATATACCCTATGATTTGGACTACAATGGACATGTGTATGAGCCAATGAAGCGACCTTAATAAAGATGGCATAAACTTACATAATCCTCCAACAATGAATGGATTGAAGTATTTCGCATGACTTCTTATTCGCTGGTAGAGGTGGAAAGTAGTCGTTAAAAGGAAAAGCGCAGCAAATATTACTGCGCCCACCAGACTGGGCGTGTAACTGTAAAGGATATAGGTAGAGCTGGCCATTGTTGCAAAGAGAATGGTAATAAGAACGTCGAAGATACGTTTAGTATCGATACTGGGATTCAAATGTTTGATATTATTGACATGAAAGACCTGGGTGGACGTGACATATATAGGGCATTATTTCTGGGCACCGAAAATTTCAATCTATTTTTCCTGCAGGCAACATAGATTCCAATGTTCCAAGGTTCGATGAACCGTGAGGATGCAGAAAAGGCTTGTATGCCATCTACTACAAAGCACCAATACCTAAAATCTAGGTTATCTGTGCTAATCTCAGTACATCTAGTAGAAGATGGTGCTTATTGTTGCGATTGATATCCGAAGCCGAATACGAACAGAAAGGTTCCACTTTAACCTTAATCAGATGTGGGTCTCGTATTCGGGGTTCGTATTCGATCCGAACAAATGGCTATGTTCTAGGAGGCCTATAGAACTCCTTAATAACAATATGACCGTAGGTTCGTTTTTGAAGGATTAAAATACTTCACAGTTGCCTTCGGGATAAGAAAATAAAAGAGGCTTCCTAAGGGACCATACGCCACTGGCGCAATTCTATAATACGAAGGTGTTTCAACTGCTAAACTTGTGCCCACAAGATTCAGCAAAATGTCGTCGAAACTCGAGTTAAGACAACTGGAAGAGGACATACTCGAAATTAAGGAAATGAGTGAAGATTTACTCACTGATGAGCTGCCACCTACGTACAGCTCTCTCTTCTCCGAAGACTTACTACTTTCACCGCCAACCACCACGGATGAAAGCCGTGAATCGATCCTGATCGCAGGTATGAAATATGGAAAAAGAGGCTATAGTTAAAGGTGCTCTCGCTAAAAGAACCTAACTTACATAGATATCGGCCGTTTTAGCATAGACTTAAGCGCGGGAACTCGCACATCTATGCTAATCCAAGAATTTTCATTACCTGCGCAACGACCTCAGGTTATAGAAATTCGAGCCAACAATTCTAACCCAACTTCACTTGCCAAAAGCACCGATGATGTCAAGGATGCACTTGGAACTCATGAAATCCCACTAGATATTATTCTGATGCTAGTGGGAAGCAGAGGTAAGAACAGAACATCGCCAAGGGCAGACGCATGAACTGCTAATACAGGGCCACTATACAGAGGAGACTAAATCAATTATACTGATCGGACAGGAACTCCACCAACATGGCCACCGAGTTCGAGTCGCTGCACATTCAATCTTCCAGTCAGTCGTTCACAGGGCCGGACTGGAATTTTTCTCCATCGGCAGCGACCCAGAGCATACCATCGCGGTAAATCCCCGTTGACCTCCTTATCAATTTTGGAGTAAAAAAAAAGCTCACGAGTAACAGACAAAGGACTCAGCCCTCATGCCTGATTCCAGTGGTGTTGACAGGCACCAGGTCCTAAAAAACAAAAAGGTCTTACTAAACACACTCAAAGAATGTTGGAATGCGTGCACCCATCCCGGCTCGCACGAAGATAAACCCTTTGTCGCGGACGCCATCATTGCAACGCCTCTTGCGCATGCTCATATCCATTGTGCGGAGCACTTGTCCATCCCGCTTCATATCATGTCTAACAGCCCCTGGACACCGACGAGACGATTCGTACATCCGCTAGCACAAATCGAGACGGGAAGTGAGATTGATTATCAGTTGCAGAATTATCTGTCCCATTTACTGGTCGGAGAGTCTGTGTGGCACGAGTAATTATTATCTTGATCCACGAATCATTTAGCCGTATAAACATGGTCATTGACAGAGTTCTAGAGTCTACAGCGTCGTCGATCATTTTCGCCAAGCAGTTCTAGGTCTAGAACAGCTATCTTTGTCTAATGGAGCCGGGATTTTGAGAGAGTTCAAGATTCCTCATACTTATTTGTGGTCCTCTGGGTTTCTCCCAAAACCGGAGGACTGGGATGACTCCATTGGTATGCGCACATGCAATTTCGGACTTCACTGAAATTTCTTCTGACACGAATCTTTAGATATTTCCGGCTACCCCACTATCAAAAGCCCATCTCCTTATATTCCTTCAAAGGAGCTAGAAGACTTTCTCCAAGCCGCAATCGAACCTGTCTTTGTTGCACTGGATATCACCCAATTGAACAAACCGAAGTTATTCGTTCAATACGTTGTGGAAACTTCTCAAAAACATGGGGTTTATCTTCTTCTGCCGAGTGGGTTCCGAGAAGCAATTGATATTTCCGAAGCGCCCAAGATTTTCCTACTTGAGAATGACCCAAATGGTGAGTCCATTCATTTCTGAATAAGATATACGCCTATCACAATGATGAAGCTAACTGAGAATTTCAACGAAGTTAAAGAATGGCTCATCCCCAGAGTTTCCGTGTTGTTAACCAGTGGAGACATCCCAACGGTAAAGGAAGGTGTTAAAAACGGGAAACCAATGATCTCACTACCACTTCTCTGCGAGTAAGTCTTCTACTTTCAAATTACTCCGGCCTATCTGTGTGCCCCAAAGTCTGGGCCCTAACAATGGGACCTTTTAGCCAACCTTTTTGGGCAACAACCATTCATACTGCAGGCCTCGGTCCATCTCCACTTCGCGAGCAAGCCCTCAGCAGCGAGACCCTTGTCGAGGCATTCCAGTATTGTCTACGACGAGATGTGAAACAAGTTGCTTCGAGGATAGGCGAAAGGACCCATGAGGAGAACGGCACTGCAAACGCCGTCCAATCGTTCTATCGCCATCTACAATGGGAGAAGGTTCGATGCAGTGATATCAACACGGAGCCTGTGGTATACCGTATGCAATTGAAACCATCAATTAGGAGCAAGGTCGAGACTGATGGGGTGGTAATTTCGACAAGAGAAGGCGGGTCCCCCGTGGAACCGTAGGTGTTTTCTTCCTCTTCGCTGGTCCGGTTCGAACTCAAGGATTCCAACTAACCACGACCAACAGAGATGAGTATCCAGTCCACACAAGACGGGATAAAGCACCCGAGCTCCGCGAAGAAAAAGTTCACACCACCTTCCTTGTGGACGCAAAGGGCGTATCCAAAAGTCTGATTAAAGCCATCATCAAACCTACCGTATCGCATATCGCAGATGCGCACAGAAAACGTGAGGTAAAGCGTCCAAACATGGCTTAACCCAAGCGAAATTTATCTATCTGTGCACCCACAGCTAACCAGACTATTCATTGTTATCCAGGCTCAGAATGATGTACCCGTGCCGACAGTCCGGAAGGTCGAGAAATACAAAACCCGAACGGGAACGGCCATGAAATTGGTTAAGAATGTGGGATTTGGGTCTGCGGTTGCTTGTGGAAAGATTGCTGTACTGCCATTCAAGAGTGAGTTGCTCAACTTCTAGATTTCTCTCAGTCTTCGTGGGCTTCAATATTCGGTATCCATAGGTACTGACGCGGGATTTAGCTGTATGGTATATGAGCGAAACGGCATCATACGGAGTGCGGGCACTACAGGGGCTGGATCGTCAGGAACATAAAAGTCACGATCAAGGCGTGGAACAAACTTCCAATGTGAACGATTCTCGGTTATTCGATGAAGGTAACGTGATAGACTTGCGAAGCGTGAAAGATACTATGTCTGACGATTTATATGTTGTCACAGAGATCTATACCACTTCTTTGGGCCGAGACGATGCTTATACGCGCGCAATCACAGCTTCGGGTATGCGTCGGAGTACAACTCAGACTCGCGATGGTGATGGGTTATCTCTTGGATCTCGCCGGTCTCATTCTTCCGCGCCTAGTGCCAGGATGGAGTAGAGAAGATAGTGTGTATATTACGGATTTCAATTTTTCTGTGGCTAGGTCAAAATTGCGAATACTCTTGCGGGAAACCCAGGTTATCTGAACCGAGAGATTTTAACTTTTAATAAACAAGAATCATTATACGAATTTCAACAGCTTTCTTTACCGTCGCCCCGGGAATACTTTCTTTTCTTTTCCTTCATTTTGGGACATCCATAAGTAAGTAGTCACGCGTTTGACTGGAATGACGCCTACTCTATAATCCCTTCCACAGAGGCATGCGAACGTCCAAAAGAGAAGAACAGCCTCACCTGTGTAGGCTCACATAATTGCTCATACGTTGGCTCGCAAAGTGCCGACGAAGGCTGATTTTCTCCCATCTCTTGTTCGATAATATTATACGTCATCTATCTGACGCGTATCGAACTGTTCTCGTGTTAACAGCGTACGAGATGGGCAATGTCTTGCATCTTAGTCTGGCTTCTAGTCTAGCATTCACGGCTCGGGCTTACTACGCAGTAGTAATGCGCCCAAATTGTAAGAAATCTTGTCTCAATTGGCGCCTAAGCTAAATTTATATGGAAGCCTGAAAAGTTTCGGATAGAGGAACGATACAATCTGATGTGGCAGGATTGAGCGACATCCGAATACGATCCCGCGCTCGCATTCGGGATTTGCGTTTTAATTGGGGCCATGCCAAGCATTTAGTTCGGGTCCCTGTTGATCCAACAATCTCTCCTTGAAGTGTCCGAGTCTGTATCGCGCCTAAGCAGGTATAGGTAGTTGATTGAAATACGTTTAAGGATCTTTTTACATGTAATATTAGACTTAGTGGATATAAACTTTATTCCCGATTGGTTACTTTACGCATTTTCAGTCAACGGTTTGGTAATAGGAAAGTCTAGCAATATCCAGTAACTATCTGTTACAAGTTTCTAGGAGAAGAAATCATTAGTAAAAAACTTCGAGTCGATTAGGGAATTAAGGGGGGCATGTTTGTACATATTTGTAATAGCGGGTCTTCCGGCCCTTCCATCATATCCCTTCTAACTACTAGTAGTGCTAGGCTAGAATATTTCTAAGATGGTCAGTTGCTGGTAAGTGCTTGTCGATCCGAGGGCGACTAGCTACCTAGGTAGTCTAGGGTTTGTGAAGATCCACGGCACGATCGGCAGATGCCTTCATGGCAGATAAGCTTACTTCCAACCTTCATGAACCCCAGGGCTGTACCTAGGGGAGGCTCTCATGCTTCCTGTCAATATATGGTCCATAGTCCAAATTTTTTGTTTGAGTACTGGTAGTTTAGAGAGCCGATGCAGCCAATGAATTTATTACTCATCTCCACTTTCGAATGATCTGCGACCTTTTTACGTGAACCATTCCATTTCGAAGTTAATGTGCACCTGGACATTTTGCATGTCTGACGTGATTCGATAATAATTCAATGCGTGGCCCTAAAGGCTAAGTAATTCGGGGTTTTTGGAAGTTCCACTAATACACCTGTACATAAGAGAATACCAGGGATAGTCTACGAAGAAATAGCACCCGCATTTCACCTTTACTTCTGTTGAGGCAGTCTGACTGCCTATTTAGAGAGGACCTTGCTCCCTACCTATTTGACTTTCCTTCCTATTTCTTCCATTCACCGACTCAATTCAGCCTACGGTTTTCTTTCCCATCCTGTCGTGCCCCACACCTTATGAGTCCTCGCTCGTCGATTTCGTCCCCGAACGCATTCCATTTCATCAAACTCAGCAGCTAGGGTAGCAGGCCATCAGCTTCACTACCCTCGATACCCCCGGGTACCCTAATTAGACACCCACCACCTTAGGACCAGGGAGGGTGAGAGACTTCGCTATGGCCATTTTCGTCAACACTATTCTTACCATGCATCGCACTTCGCCCTATTTGTCGAGACCCCTTTCGGTATCGCAGTTGTCATCAAGACACCATTCATAATACACCTATTTGCACTTTCAGTCGAGACCTTTTCGATCTCGACGCACGTTTGAAAGTTGACCCTCATTTGGAGAACATTCAACCGCGTCGTCGGTTAAAATAGCTTCGACACCCAAAGTTCCACATACAGCCAACCGTACCTCGTTCTACCATAAACAGATCGTCAGAGTCAGCAACAAAGCTAGTAACAAAGTTAGCACTGCAGTTAAACTGGAGAAGGGGCCAGAGCGAGAGCTAGAGCGAGCGCCCCGTGCCAGTTACGACAATAATAGTGGATAGATTGGGGGGATTTAGTTCTGTGGGTTTACTTTTACACTGCTGATTCAATATCATACCTACTCAGAGACTAGGTTAGATCTGGTCCTATAGGGGGCTGAACTATCAGCCAGCCATCAACAGCAGATGGCTACACCATCAGCAGGTGTCGATATACAACCCCTTTTTCAGTGAAGTATACTCACGACCCTTGTTGTTCCGAGCGTGAAACCACAACATGCTGGCCCAAGTCCCCTAATCCCGAGGCTGAAGAAAGTTCACCTCGATCGAGAGCTATGCCGTGGTCTCGCTCCCCCTACCCGAGGAAAATTCAATATATTTGCTTCCATTATTTGATAGGAGCTATACGAGCTATGTGGTCCCTAGGAGTTATCCAAAGGAAGGTAGTGTTCTGGTGCTCCTAGGAGAGTGGGTTGAGAAGTGGAAGCATATTCTCGCCTCATTGCCTGCTAGTAATGTGGCCCGAGTTGACGAGTTCGATAAGATGGGCGCTTGCTATCACTCAACTGTGGCCAAATACTTGTCGTCCCTCAACGAGAATGGCAAATCAAAGAACTAAAATGGTTCACTTTGGGACTAATTACCGTCCATAGTATTATGATTGACTTGTTATCACCGTATATTTGGAATTGGTATGCGCATCACCCTCGTTTGGAAATATTACTCCGGCTTAATTTCACTTTTTCTAGCATATGATATGATATGCTCATTTGCAAAAGCAGCCAAACGCCAGTGAGCGGCTTAGATTTAAAAAGTCCCCATCCCGTAGCCAACGATATCAGTTTCACTTGTTCAATGAAGAATACAACTGCCAAGGTTGACCTCCATCCTTTGGGTACATAAGTTAATACGGCTGAGCGAACAGGAATCCCGTTTTCCACACCCTATGGTTGGATGTATCAGGTTACATGTGGGAGAGAAGTGTACATGTAGAGTATAAGCGGTTAGGTGCTAAATGGAGGGTCTATGCTATAGAGAAGGTAGGAATAATCGCCCACATAATGTACACACGACCCTGTTGACCAGTATCACCTATTTATTCTGGGCTGGTGATAGACTTGGGTGCATGCACAAAGGAATACGGGGCATTCGCAGCCAACAGGAACGAGGCCTTTCCAGTCACTTTAGGATCCGGACCGATAAAGTTGCCTGGGAAGCCAACGTCGAATGGCTTTTGGCTCTCAAGGTATTCGATTTGCTCCGCTGTCAATCGGATATTGAGAGCCTCGATGTTATCCTTGAGATGTTCAACTTTGCGGCCGCCAACAAGAGGGAACACATTCGGTGCTTTCGCCATCACGTATGCCAGGGCAACCGCAGTAAGAGATTTAATCCCATGCTCCTTGGCCACCTTCGAAAGTGCAGCACTCATTGCGGCTTCTTCTTCGGTTTGTTCCGAACTCAATATGCTACGGAGGCCCTGTCCCTGAGCTTTCCGTTGCTCAATTTCCTCCTTTGTTTTGAATTTTCCTCCGCCCATAACATCCCAGGGCGCAAGTGCCATTCCGAAATAGCGCGCCATGGGGATGATGTCCCGTTCGAAATCACGGAGCATGACATTCCATCTACCCTGGTAGATACTGAACGGTGTCTTTCCGTGCGATCGAGCATACAAGTTTGCTGCAGACACAACCCACGCCGGCGTATCCGATATCCCCAAATAGAGTACCTTTCCTTGTTCCACAAGAATATGCAGACTGTCCATAACCTCTTCGATTGAGGTGGTCTGATCCCACCAGTGGAGATACAGGATATCAATCCAATCGGTTTGCAGCTTCTTCAGTGAATCCCGAACACTCATATGGAGACTTCGCCTGTGGTTGCCGCAATGATTCGGGGCATTTCCCTTGCCAAGCTTATACGAGCGAAAGTCTGTGGTGAATTTGGTCGCAATCACCAATTGATCGCGGTTCTTGCGTTCGGCGATCCATTCCCCAATCCAGGTCTCGGATTGTTCGTCCTGGTAGTTGTTTGATGTATCAATGAAATTTCCGCCGGCTCCATGGAATGCGTCGAGAAGTTTAAAGGACTCCTCCTTGCTCATGGATCCCATTGTGTCCGACCACGCATCGCCAATGGACATGGCTCCGAGCTGTAGAGGGGAGACACGAATCCCAGCCGTAGAGGAGAGAACGCGGTACCGTCCCAACTCGGTGGTTGGTTCCGGAGCTGGGGTCCATAGATCCGCCATGATAAGTCAATTATAGAAGACTAGGAAAGAAAATATAAAGAGGAATGAAAGTTCGGTTTGAGGCAACTCGAAATTGGGTCTGTGAAAGTCCAGTATATATTCATTTTCTGACAACGTCATGACATCACTGGCAATGTGTTTTTTTTCTCCCGGCAATTGGAGTCATCGAGAACAAATCCCAAAGACCATTCTCTCATGACGTTGGAAAGCATATAGCGGGCCCAGTGTCATCAAGCGGGCCCACTGTCATCAAGCTGCATTAGTCTCCGTGTACAAGGTCTGGCTGCAATAACATATAGCACATTCATGAGGTAGAATCATGCGTACTAGAAACAAAGTGACTCGGTGGCTTATTTATCGAATAACCATAGTTAGTTGGCTATTGTAAGTGTAGTGATATCTAAACGTCACCTCGGCCCTCATTTTCTTAAAAGCTCCACTTGTCCTAATTGAATATTATTGTAACAATAGTGTGGATCCTATGCCACCCCATTGTACTCGTCATGGTGCCGCCAATAAAAACAGTTCTGTCATCACCATCCCATGGGATGGCTGATCAAGGTCGCACTTCTGGACAGCTATTCGATCG